TTTTTATGTTTCAAACTCTTTTTAAATTTTTTAAATTATTTTTTTAATGTGTAATGCTTTAAGGCTCCCCAAGTCTAAAAATACATTTTTTATGCCATCATTTCTATTAAACACATTAACCCTCGAAATTCTTCTCTACCTTCCAAATTAAATATTTCACTTTTACAACAACAACTTCGCCTAAAAAATCAATAAATTAACTTCGCATAATACGAAAAAGATTTCTTCATATATGTATCCATTCATATGTGAAAGATTTTTCAACAATCTTTATTGCATACTTTTCAGCGGCACTTTATTATATTCGTGGTACACCCACATATTTTTACGAGCACAGAGGAGCAACCCCAGCTTCTGCCAAGCGCTTTGCGCCAGCTAGGAAAAAATCAAATGGCACTTATCTAATTCCACATCATTTGACTTTTATTATGGAAACTTTTGCTAACCCAACTCTATGCTTTTTATTATATTTGCAGTTATCCGAGTTGGAGCAGCGCGTCGTTGAGGCGGAAGAACGTGCTGAAGAAGCGGAAGATAAGGTAAGTGAAAAGTGCAGCAGTTACTTCAATAAAATATTTGAAGCTAGAAAAAAATATTTTAAGCTAAGAAAAAAAAGTAGGATTTTCTTTTCAAATAAAATTCAACCACCACTTTTTGCTCCACTGCACCTGAAAATATGCCTCACTACAATTTGTTATTGAAAACAAGCCACTTCTATCTATTTGTATCAAATATTTAAGCATTGTGGCTACATGCTGTTAATCTACTTTGAGGGTGACTTTCGGTTTCTAAATCTTGGCATATTCTCTGCTGAAACCACAACAATATAAATCACTTTAAGCATTTGCCGAATTTTACATAAATTTCTACATCTTTTAACACACACTTCACTTTCATTCCGGGTGGTAAGCCGCCAAAAAAGTATGCGGCCACGTGCCTGAGTGTATGCTACGGATTTGTACTTTGTCATTAGTAAATACTTGAAGCTTTCAAGCGATCACAACAGCGTGAAAGCTGAAAGGGTTTGAGGGTTTTTGGAGTGGCGTATCAAATTTGCAAAATGCGTTATATGAAATACGTACAAGAAATTTTGGAATTTGGTATATTTGAACGAAAATTATAATTTGAAAATGAAATTAAATTAAAAATAATAATGGAATTATATGTTTAAATTAATCATTTGAATTAAAAGAATAACATAAGTAATTGAAAAAAAAAC